TCCAGCTCCACATAGGTGCCCCAATCACAGTATACAATCCTTTCTCCTAGTTCCGATGTAGCTGATGTATCTATGTCACCAAGTCCCCTTCTGATTCTGTCGGAGGGCATTCTCTTGCAAGTGACAGCGTAAGTCAGCTACCGGCTGCCGGACATAAACTATCTTGGGTAGTGGTATGTGGTGGTTGCCGCCATTCAGCAGAGTGCCTAGCCTTGACTTTTGAGTGTGTTGAGATTTGGAGTTTGGCAGAAGACGAACCAGAGAGCTCAGCAAGCAAACATCTGAGACGACGCATCTCTGTCGTCCTCAGGCCCTAAATCCTAAACCCCAGGCCCGTTTCCTTTCCTGGCTAAGTCGGCTTCGAAAGCCAGATCCCTGCTTTTTTTCGGGTTGAGAGGAGCCTGTTCCCTTCACTCAGCAGCAGCCGCTGGCATCGCAGGAGGCAGCCGTTCCCTGACCCCCCAAGGGCCGGAAGATGAGAAAGAGACCTCAACCGTAGATTCTCGGCTTCTGGGCCCTTGAAGTCCTTGATTCCACAGGCCTGAATCCTAGGCCCTCTTGGGACCGCTTCGGGTTTTGGCGGCTACTCAGGGCAGGGCATCCAGGAAGACCTTGGGCTCGTCTCGTCGCCTTTGCAACTTACACGTTGAAGAACTGGCCAGTCTTCTTGTAAGTATGATGTTGACGGTGATGCTAGTGACACGATCCCTAAACCCTAAACCCTAAACCCTACACCCTAAACCGTTCTCATCATAGTCGCCACGGCACCTGCAGCAGCAAGCAGAAGCTGAAAAACGACGACAGCCCTGCGCAGCACCGCCGCCGATTCAAAGGTAATGCAGGGGCCTAACTAGTTACCAATACTATCTTGGGGATTCCTTATTATAATTATAGTATAAGGGAGCCCAAAACCCTATTCTAATTATTAAGACCCCTACATTAAAGAATGAAAATTCACACAAGGAAGACGAGACTCGACCAGGGCAGGCTGTGACCTAAGTGTATCCAAAGTAGCAGCAATAGCAGTAGCAATAGTTGTCGTTTGCCCCGTCATTGTCGCAGTCTTCAGTAACGTAGGGGCCGAAATAATTACCAACTACCAATACTATACCAATACTATTATGATTGTAGTATACTATACCCCAAGACCCTATTGAAATCATGAACGCCCCTACAGTAGCTGTCGTCGATTTCGTCGCGCTAGCAGTAGAAGTAGCAGAAGAAGGTCAAGATCTCAGGAGCCTAAATCCTAAACCCAAAGCCCTAAACCCTAAGCCCTAAACCGTTAACCCTAAACCCCAAGCCCTGATCCCTAAGCCCTAAACGCTAAGCTCTAAACCCAAACCCTAAACCTAAACCCTAAACCCTAAACCCTAAACCCTAAACCTAAACCCTAAACCCTAAACCCTACACCAACCCTAAACCCTAAACCCGAAGATCCAAAGCTCCGAAGGCCCCCCTCCACCCTTCCGCAGGTCTCGGGCATTCCGAACCAGAGTGAGCCGCAGGTTGGTCGTCTTAAATGCCATTCTATTCTGTTCTGTTCTTTTTAGGGTTTAGGGTTTAGGGTTTAGGGTCTATTCAACTCTATCCGGTTTCAATATTTTATGCTATATTATAGTAGTTGTAGTAGACCATACTATAGTATATTTTATTGTCCTTCTATATTCTTATCTATGATCTTCGCTTCGGGAGGGTTGCGAAAGGGAGGCAGCTTGGGCTTGTTTTTTTTACTATTGTCATTGTTACTACTGCTATTATCATCATGATCACTATCTTTCTACAAACATTATTTTCTATTTATCCAAACTGCTATAGCAACCATGTCCTTGTTGGCATTCCAGAGATGGTTATCCTGCCCCTGATTATCACTGTTTTCCCATTGCTGTTATGACCACTTCGATTGTGCTCACTGCCAAATGATTTCCATGCTGAGGGTGATGGTGCGGGTGTTTGTGTGGACAGCGGCTGTGATAACGTAGATACAGTGATGCGGTGATCCTGGTGCTGGGGCTGTTATTCTAGAAGTTGGCGATGATCTGTGGCCGGGGAAAAGGGCGAGAGTTGGAGTAATGATAGTAATGGCAGCAGCTGGTGTTAGCAGCAGTAGTCGTAGCCGTCGTCGTAGTTGTTGTCGTAGTCGCAGTCGTAGTCGTAGCCGTAGTATACTTCGTAGTAGTAGTAGTAGTAGTAGTAGTAGTAGTAGTAGCAGGAGTAGTAGTAGTAGTAGTAGTAGTAGTAGTAGTAGTGGTAGTAGTAGTAGCATAGTAAGTAGCATTAGTAGCATTAGTAGCATTAGTAGCATTAGTAGCATTGGTAGCAGTGGCACTAGCACTAGGACTTGCACTAGCAGTAGTATTAGTAGTAGTAGTAGTAGTAGTAGTAGTAGTAGTAAGTAGTTGTTGTTGTAGTCGTAGAACCAATCATAATCGCAACCGTGACTCATAATTGTGCTCATATGCTTCGTCATTATCGTAGTCACAAAACAGCATGGACAAATGCATCAAGAAAGAAGGATCTAGAAAAATGCCTGAGCAAAGACGGACAATTTACATTAAGGTGACGATGACGATGATGATGTGGGTGGTGATGAGGAGCTGCAGGAGGATAATGCTGAGGGTGAGGATGCAGAGTCGGAGGCTGAACTATCCTCTTATAGGCCCTCTCTCTTGCAGATTTGCTGGCAAGGCGGCTTCAGATGGCCAGATGGTGGCAGCTTTAGGTTTCGATCCGATGCAAGGCTCGGGCATGAGGGCGCCAGAATTCCTTTGCACATTGCTTTTGTTTTTGCGAGCAGTCTGGAAGGTCCCGAAATCCCCCTAAAACCTGAAACCTGAAACTAGCTGCCTTACTGCCTGTTTCTGCTGCATGCAAGCCCCGAAGTCGTGCGCAGATACCATCGACAGCATCATCAGCGACTTGATGCCTTACAAACAGGAGGCACCATGCGAACACAGGGTTTTAGGGTTTAGGGTAGTTTAGGGTTTATATATCTATCTGAGCTGTGTGCTGGCATCTGCCTGGCTATGTGCATGTGCTGCAAACACAGGCATCTATGTAAACACAAGTGTACTTGTGTTCTCATACAAACACACACACACACCACAAACACATGCATGTATGAATGCATATGCATATGCATATACATACATGCGTACAGACAGACAGACAGACAGACAGACAGACAGACGGACGGACGGACGGACGGACGGACGGACAGACAGATAGACATACGTACATATCTATATATACATGAATACACAGGTTATACTTAAGGCCCCG